AGCAAGTCCAAAAAAGTGGGATCTATGAACATGCCTCAGATAAATAATTAAATAATTAAATTACAATTTAAAAAGTGGGATCTACTAGTTGTTGCTGATGTTGTGTATGTGTGTTGTGAGAGTTGCTAATTTTTATGTATCAAACATCCAAAGTACCCTTGAAGAAGTAAATAAAAGAAAAGCATTGCAATCAAATATGAATCAGAATTTCTAAATGTCAAATGGAATACTTTAGGCTCMGTTTGGAAGGAGTACAAATACAAATATGTAGAATGAAAAACCTTGTATTTTGTATTATTCCGTTTTATATTTGTGGATGGGACAAATTCCTGACCCTTTAGACCTTGATGTGGATGGGAGATCTGGTGTGTCAAGGGAAGAGATAGAGAGTGYTAGGGAAGATGGGGAACTTCCATCTRTTGCTCAGGTTTCAACTCCCATAAATGATGCTAATCTCCTTGATTCTAAACCCCTCCCAGCAAAACCATCTGATCTTGAACATTCTAGAGACCTGGCTTTAATTTCAAAGAGCTCAGTTGCTCCTATCAACAAGTTAAAATCTCAAGGTTTCAAGAAACATGATGAAGATTCAGATATTCTACTGGATACTGAGAGTGATATGGAAGAAGTTGCATTAACTGAGCTAGAGAAAGAAAATGCAACAAGTATTGGATGCTCTAAGATGATTGACAAGTCATGGGAGGACTATGGGTCCATGGAGTTTTGCTTGGTTCTGAGTAGAAAAATGGATAAGAGTCAGCGAAATGTGAAGTTGGAAGCGAATGTAGCTAATTTTCACTTTGTTTTTTCCTCGTTCTTTTGTTGATTTTGCTACTTGGCCATTGGCTTTAACTTCTACATGACAGGTAAGATCAGCATAGAATATCCTCTCAGGCCTCCGGTTTTCACAGTCAAGTTGTATACCATCATTCCAGGAGAAAGTCATGAGAGGAATGCTTCTGAATGGTACAATGAATCCGTGCCATTCTAGCAGAGGTAAGATAGAAAAGTTCTGATTTTTTTTATCTCTATAATCATTCACGGTAACAAATCAATCCGTGATTTAAATCAAGTTTTTATTCATGAAAATGATATTTTTTATCATAAAGGATCAGCTCTTCCATCTTACCATGGTAATAGTTTTATCTAAATTGTCACTTGGATATACAAATATTGTTTCAGCATCCCACTCTATCAGGGATTCAAGTCTTCTTGGTAATGAATTGGAATTGTTACCACTAGTCAGTAACTCAGTATTGACTTTTGTGGCTTCTATTGTCCTCTTAGAGCCTTTAACTTGTAACAGAGATTAATGTTCATTGATGTGACAAACCATGGGGATGTTATTTTCACTTTTCTGCAGTGCACTTAACTAGATATGTTTATTATGAGAAAACACTCGATGACTGTAGTGATTGCAAGTAGCATTTTCTGTTTAGATCATGTTAATAGAGTCTTTCTTTTGTTAGGCCAATTGAAGGAGAATTACAACTTCCATTAAACACCACTTTCTTATTCTATTCCCCTTGTTAGTTGCTAGTCATGCATCTCAATGTTTTCAGTAATCTTGTCCTGATAGAATAAAATTCTTCTGATATTTTCAAGGAGGATCAAAATCATTAGGCTCATTTGGTAGAATAACAACAGAAGTACTTTGTACTTGTAGCAGAACTTGAATGCCAATTTCTGTTTCTAGATTTTGCAATGAAAAGGTTTAAGTTGTTGATGTAATATATTCATGAAATAATTGGGTCGTGGATCTGTGGAAATTTGAATTTCCATGGGAATTACCTGATTTAAATTTCACGTGGCTCAAGCTTATTTGCATAATTACAACAACAAAGCAATAAGGAAAATAATTCGATAATTTATACTTAAGTTTATACTTAAAAAAATAACAGCAAAGCAATAAGGAAAATAACAGCAACAATTTATACTTAGAAAAATGTATAAATTCCATAATAATTCGAACACACAAATACCAATAAGGAAAATAATGAAAGGACAAAAATTGTTCAAATACCTTAATCGGTGCTGCTTTCTTTTAATGCTTACAGGGATGATATTGGTGGTCAACCTAAAAGGGGAAAAACAGAAGAAGAAGAAGAAGAAGAAGAAGAAGAAGAAGAAGAAGAAGAGGAGGAGGAGGAGGAGGAGGATGTATCCATCTTCTGTGCGCAACTTGAGAAGAAGAAGAAGAAGAAGAAAGAAGAAGACGATAAGAGAGAGAGAGAAAGAGAGTTTACCTTGGTTTGATCTCTTTGGATCGATCTTAGCTTTAGGACTTCAACAGATCGAGATCGATCTCACCGTTACCTTGTACAGAGAGAGAGTCGATTAGTTTTACCTTGTAGAGACTTCAACAGATCGAGATACCTCAGCAGAGAGAAAGAGAGAGGGACGAGGGTTTACCTTGTACAGAGAGAGATAGCAAGACAGGGTTTAAAGAGAGAGAAAGAGAGGGACGAGGGTTCAGTGAGTTCAAGTCGAGAGGCCTCGAGCTCGAACGAAAAAAAAAAAAATTCTGGGAAGAATGAGTCCTGCGGCAAGAAATGAATATCCAAAAACACCTACATCTCATTTATTCTTGCCCATTCTTTTCCAGAATCGGCAATAATTAAAACAATGATGCCACTTGCTTGGTTCAATATGCCACTGGCTTGTTTCAATTCTCAATTTTATACAAGATGAAATTCTAAGATAAAAAAAATGAGTAAAAATGGGAAGAAAACATTGCTACGAACGAAATGCTTCTTTTCCGATAATTGTTTTTTTTTTACGACAAGAATGAGAATGAAAGTAAAATTTGTAACTCCTTTATAAGGGTTAGAGGTGTAAAACGTGTCGTGTCAGGTCCATGTAAAGTGCGGGTTATGCCATGTCACCCTCCCCTAGAATAACTTGGGGGTCGGCTTAACACATCCCACAACCTAAGCCCATGTGGGCCCGTATTGTGTTGCAGGTCGGGCTAGCCCGTGAGCCAAGCCTTGAAAATGAGACTCATCGAATATCTCACAATCATGTCGTGGTCCACATGATCATGTCGGGCTTGGCATTCCACGTGCCATCGTGCCGGGCCGTGGGCGGCATAACCCAATTTACACCTCTAATAAGGGTGTCAATTAACCGGTTTTGGATTGGATCCCATGTAATTCAAAATTAATTTAGACAGATTGGATGAACTAACAAGAGTATTGGATTGAACCAATCCGGTCCAAAATATTTATTAGATTAGATTGGACCATCCGATCCATCTGCAATAAAAATTTATATTGGATTGGGTTGGATTAAGCCAATATATGGTTCATTGATATAAGATAAGAATATATGTGTTAATGGACCGGTTTGGGTTGAAACCAATCTAAATCAAAACGAATTTGAATAGATTAGACAGTCTAGACATTGAATTGGGTTGATCCATAATGGTCCAAAATATTCATTGGATTAGATTAGACTTTGTTCATTTACAATGTACTCAATTTGGTAATTTTGGGGTTCTAGTGGGTATTTTTGCAATATTGAGAAAATAAGTCAAATCGGGTCTAAGAGGGTCAAACCGGATCTTTTGGTTCAATGGTGGAGATTTTTGGGCCAAACGATGGAGAGTTGAGATGGGTTTGACCACGGTGTGGGGTTGTGTATGTATGGGCTAGTGAGATGGCTGAAATGAAATCTTTTTTAGATTTAAGGGTAAATGAGGGTATTCTTGGCTTAAATTTCACAGGGTGAGGTTTTTGGACATTCTGAGTTGATTGGCGGGTTCAGAGTGGCCCAATTGGGTTTGAATTGGTCAAATCTGGACAGGGTTCGATTTGATCAATTTGAAGGCTCGAAATAGAATATTTGTGTGATCAAGAGGCAAGCAAGGTTTATTTTGGATGAAATTTCACAGGGAAAGATTTTTGAGTAGTCTAAGGTGATTGGTAAGGTTAGATTGAGCCAAATGGACTCGAATCGAGCAGATTTGTCATTTAGTCAATTTGGGACCTTGAAATGGAATCTTGGTGCGATTGAAGGGTAAACGGAGGTAGTTTGAGTTGAAATTTCACAGGTGGGTATTTGGAGGTGTTCAAGATATGATGATGTGGTTTGATCTGCCTTTGGAGGGTTAAGATCATCGGAATTTGGGTTAATGTGATGCTAGAATAGAATTTTTATTTGATGGGTGGGTAAACATGGGAATCTAGGGCTAAAACTTTTTGGACAGGTGTTTTAATGTGTCTAGAGTTTAATGATGTGGTTTGATCGGTTCGAATGTGTCCAAATCAAGGGAGTTTGGGTTCTGGGTGTTTAGGCTAACAAAAGGGGTCGAAATGGAATCTTTGCTTGATGGACTGGTGAATAGGGGAATCTTGAGTTTAAATTTCATGGATAGGTGCCTTGGGAGCTTCTGGGTCTGATGGTTATGTCTGATCTAATGGTTGAGGTGTAAGTGGGGGTCGATCAAGACCATCGGATAGTTATCAGACAGTTTTAATGGTATATCTGAAGGCTCTCAGGGTGAAATTTGGGTGTTTCAGAAGGATCGGAAAGGTTTGATTGAATGTTTAAGGTAAATTGAAGGTTTAAGCGGCGAACCGAGCAAAAATTGAGTGCTGACAGGTTCCCCTTTTTGTTGTGAGGTAGGAAACTATGAAACAACAAAGACCACAAAAAGTACACAAAGATTTTTGCGAAGGTCAAAATTGGAAGAGGGGTAAGACAATGAAGGAGCAGTAAGACGAAAAGAGTTCCTGCGTAGCATCATTTCATCATGTTCAAGCCATTTTATTCTTGGCAAAGTGACCCTTCCTAAGTATGAAGAACCTTCGAAATCAGGGTACATTTGTCATAAAGAAAAATAATAAAAACAAGTAAAAATAATGATAAAAGCATCTCAATGTATTGAATTTATTTAATTTTGGCAGTAGTTGACTTTTCGAGTATTAGATAATCTTGTAGAGTGGGGTCACCTATTTGCCGTGAGATAAGAAAGCATAAGATTGAAAACTATAATGTGCCATGTAGCGATGAAAACAACGACAAAGCCTTAATTAAAATTGTGATGTGCTAGTGTAGCAAAAAATACTAAAGTGCTATAAAGCAAAGAAATCAGCGGTTTATGATGCGCTAAGGTGACGAAAAGAAAACTATGTGCTATGCAGCAAGAAAATCAGTGATTTATTATGTGCTAGATGGCGGAAAATCCATGTGCTATGCAGCGGAAAACTCGATTTATGATTTGATAAAATGGCGGAAAACCATGATTCATGATGTGTTGGAGGCGAAAAAGCTTATTTGCTATAAAGCGGAAAATCAGTGGTTTATGATGTACCGAAGTGGCGGAAAACCATGATTCATGATGTGTTGGAGGCAAAATATCTCATGTGCTATAAAGCGGAAATCAGTGGTTTCTGATGTGCCAAAGTGACGGAAAATTTTGATTCATGGCGTGCCAGATGACGGGGAACTTTTGTGCTATGCAATAGGAATTCTCATGTGTTGTCAAGTGTAAAAGCATGTGCCATAGTGTGAAGAAACATTTGCTATGTAGCGGAAAATTTTGATTTAAAATGTGTTAAAAGGCAGAAATTCTATGTGCTATTTAGTAGGAAAACTCATGTGATATAAAGCAGGAAAACATGTGCCACAGTGTGGAGAAACATGTGCTATGAAGTGAAAATTTTAGATTTAAAATGTGTCAAAAGGCAAAAATCCCATGTGCTATTTAGTGGGAAAACCAAGTGCTATTCAGCGAAAAAGTCCATGTACTATACAGCAAAAAAGCATGTGCCATAGTGCGGAGAAACATGTGTTATGAAGCAGATAATTTTGATTTGAAATGTGCCAAAAGGCAAAAATTCCATGTGCTATTTAACGGGAAAACCATGTGCTATTCAAAGGATGCTATGCAGCGGAAGTCATTATGTGCGAGAGGGACGGATATTCTTGTGCTATGTAGTGGGAAACTCGGATTTCTAATGTGCCAAAGAGCGAAATATCCATGTGATGTGCAACGGAAAAACTCATGTGCTATAAAGCGAGAAAACATGTTTATAGAGCGGAGAAACATGTGCTAAAAAGTGGAAAAAATTGATTTATGATGTACGGAAGGGCGAAAAATCCATGTGTTGTGCAACGAACAATTCATGTGGTATAAAGTGGAAAAAACATGTGCTAAAAAATGGAAAGATTCATGTGCAATGGCGGAAAAATAATTGATTTACTCTGTGTTAGAGGTAGAAAATTCTTGTGCAATGGCAGAAATATTTTTGTGCAATAGCGAAAAATTTATTGTGCAAATTGATGACCAGACTAAAAATTTGAGAATGCCAATAACATGTCAGATGCAAAATGCGATAAGAATTGAAGAAGTATTATCTCAACAAATTCGATTAAACTTAATTGTCATTTCTCACTTTATCATTCTTCTTGTTGAGAATAATTTATCTTCACATTTTTACCACACTTTGCATTTTCTTTTTATTACTTGTATTTTGTTATTATTTTTTTGCTTTTTTTGGTGTACAATGACCAATTGACTTCCTTTTTTAAAGACTTTTGCAGTAGTGCAGCCTGAACTTCCTTGAGACATTTTTGTGCTCGATTTGGGTGTCAAAAGCCATAGGTTGCCCTCATTTTATCTCTCTTCTTTTCTTTTTCTTCCTTTTTTTTACTCTTTCTTTGTAACTTTCAGGGTAGAAAGATAATGCAACTCATACATAAAGGATGATGGAATTTTTATCTTCCTTTTATTGTTCATTCTTTTAGGAACCTATGAGACCAAAATAAGAGATGACGGAACAACTATGTCTAAAGGGACCTATGTCACGCTTTAGCAGGAGATAAAAGTATTTTGCCCCTTTTCAAAAGAGCTGATTGAAACCTTAACAATTATAAAGGTATGTGCATCGAAAATGCGAATGAGACAATCATATATTCGCTTTGGGAAACACCCGGGTTTTATGGGAAACTACCATGTTCTTGGTTAACAGAAGGATTGGTGATGAAAAATGCTTAATTGAAGAAGGTTTAGAACAAAATGCTTCATCGCCAACCAACCAGGTCTATCCTGTACTAAATTTCCAATTTTTAAAGGATCGAGGAGGACTTAGTGAATGGGATGAAATGTAGTCTAGGACAGGGGATCTGAAATTAAGAGTGAAAGGCTCAAAAACTTATTTATAATGGGAAACCAGATGCTTGACCTTTATGCAGGGCTGATATTTCTCTTCATCATCATTTTTGTTTATCTACTCTTGTTCCTTTGCTTTTCTCCTTTTATTTCGTTTTTCTTTTTTTTTTTTACATACTCTATACATCTTCAAATATGAACCTTATTACTTCACTGATCATGGAGGACTTCACATGTTAGAGAATTGATAAACAAATACTCGAGCCAACTGATTCTAAAATGATTGAAACAT